ACTGGTGCCACCATTTGTCAGAGGTGACGCTGATTAAGCCAACGCTAGGGCTTATATCCCCTTGGACTCAACAAGGAGTGTGAATCTGGGTTTAATTATTTCGAGTAAGTAATGCCTGGGGTCCTGAGCATAGCGGCGTTTGCCTTGGTTTCTGCACCCTCAATTCTACCCATCGAGCTGTACGGCATAAGATACTGCTGCTGTAGGTACGTGCCTATGCTAAAAATGCTAATTTTTATTAATTAAGCATGCTAAGACCAGTAGATAGTATACTATAAGTACTGCCTGTGTGTGCTTTTTAAGGAGTCGCACCCAGTATGCACTCCCAACCTCTGCGAGGTAATAGTGGTTAGCATTCGGATAATAATAGAGTGTTTGCAAAGTAATGTACAAGTCGTACCATGCCCTTATGTCGTGAAGTTCGCCGTAAACAGACTACCTACAGGCCTACTACCAAAGTATCCATCTGTAGTTTGGACTTTATAATCAAGACCATTTACCACCATAACCCTAAATCTACTCCTAACCCAAAACCTTATTCTAAATATTACCTCACCCTAACGATAAATCTACGCCTACTTACCCTGGTATTCGGCATACATACACCTGTATCATGCCGGTTTCTCTTACCATATCCTGTTAAAGGGGGACATATCTGTCATTCTTACCAAATGTTAAAGTAATTAAACTATTTTTAGCGACGCGTGTGTGGACTGAAATTGCTACGGCAATTTTCGCGTTGCTTCCCCTATGACCTCCTTTACAGGACCCGCCCACTGTACGCGCGCGCAGTTCATACTTCCGGGGATATTAGTCGGCCTACATAAATTTCAATAAAAGGGTCTCGTCTGGCATCTCATTTAAGTTACTATAAGTATACCTTCTTGAGCCTACATACAAAAATTAAACATTGGTCGGGTGTTATCAGCTACGTGAAAAAGGATCAGTTAGTAATATGGATATTTGGGGACCGCCGATCTAAGTATGGAACAATGTACGTTCTGGTTTTGCCCTGGAGCTCACTTTAGAGCCCGTGCCGGCAGTCACATAGCGACTAGTGGGATATTATGAAATGGATCATGACAAAGCAAAAGGAGACCGGAATGGCCATTTCTGGCCTATTATCCGTCGTCAGCCAGTCATACCCAATGCCAGAAGTTGAGTGTTCTAATGGTGGCTTCAGTGGTGTCACCGTCTAATTACGCCCGTTGGAATGCCCAAGAAACAACACAATAAGAAGGACGTAACTTTGAAATCCATCCGGAGGAGGGTTTATTGTGTAAAAAACCTGGAGTTGCTGTCTCGGGTGGCAGTTGCCGCTTGCTGATCTCCAGCGCGCTGTTTGTCTCCGCAGTGGGACGGACTGGCGGTATCCCCGCAGTCCGCGTGAAACTCACTTTCTGAGAGATGACAGTGGCTTATAAGTGATTGTCAAGCACGTTCACTTGTCGTATCATTGGGCGCGACAAGGTCAATTGTCGTGACGAACCTAAAACGGCCCTTCAGGAACCGCGACTACTTGGCCACGCGCTTGGACGCACGTGCGTGTGTATCCTGTCCACTGGTTAAGGTCATCGCGTGTGGACAGTCATCGCGAAGACACAAAGACACTGCGGCAGTTCGCATTGACAAAGGAATCATTGTGGCGGTCGGCGGCAGGCACGACACCTCAGGAGAGCCTGCACGGTTGCTGACATTTGGTCAGGCTAGACTCCTAACATGGATCACCCGGGATTCGAAGCCGGGACATTAGGTCATTGTGTTTACCACTCTACCATTCCACCACTATTGCCGTTACTAATATCTCTACGACTGGCTAACTTAATTATCCCCGGGTAGAGTAAAGTACACTCCCAAAATATTTTCTTCTTATAAAGTCATTGCCCCAAATATAATATGATTTTCGAGAGCAAGAAGGACATCCCACCGGAACTTTTACCATGTAAGCAAGGCCGCACACCACTCCTAAGACAGATTATTTTTTATGGCAAAAGGCATTCTAAAACTACATGAAATGTCAGTTGTGTTCATATTAGCAGTGTTACAACCAATACGCAAAGTCGGTCTGTGCTGGTGAAAAAAAGTTGAATGTCGTATGACTGATGCAGTGTGTATGGTTTTAAAGACATCGGCTTATTCACGACATACCCGAAGGTTCTGGTAATTTGGGATTGTCAGCACCCCTCCATCGGGAAGTTCGTGGGCTTGGGTTGTGCGAAGTTTCGACCACAGTGTTATTGAGTTCCGCCCGTTTTCGGAGGCAGTAGTCTGGGTCGCTTATTTCGGGGAGGGAAAAACAGAGATTGCGTACCGCTGAGACGCAGTTCTCCACCGTTATAGTGTTCGCTTGACCGGAGGCTACGGCAACCTTCAGGATTCTTAGCAGAGCAGACAGGAGACCCGGACATGCCCGGAGCCGTCTTCGATTGCATGCATCAGACGAACTACTGATATTTCTACGCCAAATGAAGCATACTGGTTGTTTTCAATGTTTCACACGAGTAGCGAGATGGCAACATAAGAAAACGGAAAATTCAGGAGACAAATCACCAACATACGTTTGTTTTCGATAAATTCTCGTCAGGCCTGTACATTGGTATCTTAATTA